GCTGAGGGCGGGGCTGGGTTAGGGGTGTTCTCGGGGGGGTGGCAGGGATACGGCCGTTGCCCGGGGGGCGGGGCTGGGTTAGGGGTGTTCTCGGGGGGGCGGGGCTGGGGCGGTGTCAGGGCGGGGCTGGGATACGGCCGTTGCCCGGGGGGCGGGGCGAGCCCCAGGTGGGAGGGGGCGACTCACCTGTCCCAGCCCCGCCCCCTCGGGCCGGGATTGGCCGCGGCGCTGCCCTGTGGAGCCGGCGATTGTCCCCGCGGCCCCGGGCGGCCCCTCCCCCGGGTCATGGCGCCGCCGTCCGCCCGGCCCCGCTCCGCGCCTTGACTCGCCGCGCCGCGCCCGGGCCGGAGGGGAGGCGGCGCTGCGGACGGTCCGGTGCCGCCGTGCCCGGGCAGGGGCATGAGGAGAGCGCGGGGAGCGGCGGCAGCGGGCGGCCTCGCGGGGGTGAGCTGAGGCGGGCACGGCTGAGGGGAGCCGCGCGGGGCCCGCGCCATGTCCCTGCTCTGCGTGCGAGGTGAGTCCGGCCCCGCCGCCCCCTGCCCCCGCCGCGCTCTGTCCCGGCTCGCGGAGCTGCCCCGCTCGGGGCCCCTCAGTGCTCAGCCCCCGCCCCGCGCACCTCAGCCCCCCGGTCCCGTGTCGCTCCGGGGGGCTGTTCCGGCCGGGGCGCTGCCTCACCTGCGCGCTCCGCCGGTGGGACACGCTCCAGGCTGGGCCCGGCGGGAGCGGCCCCAGCGACCTGCCCCGGCAGCCCGGGGAGGGGAGCTCGGGTTCCGATCTGCTCGGAGCAGCTCCAGGCGGCCCAGGAACGTCCCTCGGAGCGGGGAGTAGTTCGCGGGGTGCGGGGGTGAAGTTCTCATTGCACAGTTCCGCTCCCAGAGCTGTCCTAGGAGCCCACGTTCATGGGGGGCCTCTGACTTCAACGGGTTCCCTAACGTGCACGGCGCTGTGCGTGTAACTAAAACTAAGCATTTGAACCCGGCCAGGGCAAACTATACCCAACGCTTAAAACAACCACAAAACTCGTGTGTCAAGCCTGTGGTGTAGGGATCGTGCCTCCTTTTGTCTGTACAGCACCTCAGCACTGTTCTGGACAGTAGTGGAAGCTATTATGAATAACAGATTGAGATAATCAGTCATTAATTAGCGAGCTCTCCTTGGCAGCTGGTTTCAAAGGGGTCTCTATCTATATGCTGAATGTTCCAGTTTAAAACCAGTCTCTGAACTGGCACTTCCAGTGATTATGTAACACATTGATTCTTTTTTGTAGCTATTCTTTCACTGAGTGGTGTGTGATGTTTTTATACAGTGAAGTTTGCTCTGCTGGTGCTGCTTAGTCTTGGGGATGGTGTGCTTGGTGATTCTTATTTGCATAGGAACAGTTTTCTATCTTGGTAATAATGAGCCATTGTTTTTTAGTTGTGGTTGTACTTTGCAGTATGCCTCCCTCTCTTTTGAATTACTTTCTAAACACTGGCTACTTGTACCGAACTCTGTCCACGTAGGACAGAACAGAAATGCAGAAAAGTGTTTGGCTCACCAGTGTGTTACTTTTGATTGAAGGTACATCTGGTCAGGAGAGGAGCATGTTACTTCCACAGTGTTTAAAATAAACATAAGATGAAACTATAAAATGTTACAGGATTGAATATACTCTGGTTAAAACAAGGAAATTTAGAGTGAATGCTGACACTGCCCTGAAATCTTTAGTATTTCTAGGGCCACATCAGTGTCATATCTAAGCACAGTTCAAAGCATGTCACAAACATTGAGCTACTGTGAAGATTAATTGGTTAAAGAGGTAGAAAACAAACAATTTCCCCCTATGTTATAGAAGGAAAAACAGAGGCAGAGGGGTGAAATTCTCTTGTCAAGACTTCAAAGAGAGCCCCTGTATGTTGGGATTAGAGTTTAGGACTTCGTGATTCCCAGTCATTAGTTTAAAGTATTGGAAAATAGCTCTCACAAATCACCTTATTGTGCCTAGGTAACGAAGCACAGATGGCTCAGTTCTGCTAAATTGATAGGAAATATACCAACCTTGAAATAAGGGAAAGATGATTGTCACTCTTAACTCTGGATTTCCTTGTTGCTGTTCCTTTGTGTCAACATCTGACATCATTTTATTAAATAGCTTTTTCATTTAATTTCCTTGTGGCAGTAATTGGAGTAATAAAAACTAAAATAAACAACAAAAATCTATATGAGTAGCAATAATCATTGTGATAATAGCTCAGCAATAATGAACTCGGACACACCTATCTCCATGCACCCTGTTACTTCTGCTTAAAGGAAGACAAACCTTGGTTGGCCTCACAATTCATTCTAAATGTAAAATTCATCTGAATTTGGGTTTCTGAGCTCAATAACTTGCTTGCTTCCTTAGCTGGTAGCAGTATAAGGTGGTGTTCTCATGCCTTGTGAAAGAAGCACTCTGTATGCATGTAATCAACTACCTTTTTGCTGAAGGAGTCCCAGAGAGGTGCCAAAATATTCATATTTTGTATGTGGCAATTTTGTGCAATCTTATCAGACCCTTTGATTCATATGCTGTGCAAGACACTATTGACGGGGTGTTTGATCCTTATGTAAATAGAGCATGATAGCTCTCCTATGATCTTTCATTGTGGCAATATTAGATATGAAAATTAGGTGTTAAATTTGGCTTCACATGTCTCTCACGAAAATATTCAGAAAACACAAACCTCTAAATTTGATCTCTGAACCAGTTTTTTTTTTTTTTTAAATCTTTCTGAATGTTAATGCAGTATTTAAAACTGAAGGGTTCCCTTATGCTCTAATAAATTTGTTAGTCTCTAAGGTGCCACAAGTACTCCTGTTCTTTTTCCAGTAATTTAAGGAAGGGTGGAGGTGGCATGGAAAGTAAAGCCCCAGTCCTCCATACATTTATGGACATGCTTAACTAAATGTTTGAAGGGTGAAGGTCTTAAACTGTCTAAATACAAAGGCCATCATGACCCCAGATCATTTAAAGATAATGGAAGCTTTGAGGATATGAAAATATTAGAGATGCGCCATAGGAAATGGGAGTGGGAGAGGGCGGCCCTCACTATATTGGAGCAAACCCTTGAAGCAGAAAAAAATATTTTAGTTGCTTTTTATATTTCAGCTCGGTGCACATTAAAACAGTATTAATATTAACCATTGAAAAACAGGATTAATTCTGAGGACTCGTTGCTGTCATTAACTTCAATTCTGCTGCTGTAATACAGCATACATAGTTCGCTGTAATGAATGAGTAGTATTTTTTTTTCCGAATTGCCTATTAAAAAATTGACAACTGTTAGGCTGCTAGCATGCTGTGACTACTACCTATAACCAGTATTGTCTCAGTGTTTCTGTGTGCTCCCCCGTCTGCCTGTCTCCATCTGTTGTCTCTTCATGGCAGCAACTGTCTTTTTGTTCTGTTTTTGTACAGCACCTCGCACATTAATGGGGTCCTAAGATCACCCATTAGTCATCACCATGTTACATCATAGCTGTTGTCTCATATTAAATTGTAATTTTTCACTCTGAGGGTGGATTACACAGTTTATCAGATTTTCAGGTCCGGCTTTTAATTTCTTCTTCTGTTGGGACAAAAAATTCCCTAGTGATACCATCTACCAGGATTTCCACTCTTGGGTCTTGCCTTCCTAGCAAAAGGTTGGTGGAACTGTCACAGCTCTTAGCATTTTGAATGGTGGGCAGTGATAGTAGGCAGTATGTGAGCCAGGCTGCCTGCTGTACATTGCAGGCCATCCCTTGCAGGTTATAAATATTGGTATCCAAAAATTCTAGCTAATTCCGTCGTCATAGTTGGCAAAGGAGCTCCCACTACGCTGTGCTCCTATCACTCCAACTGTTCGTTGGATGATATCCTTTCTGTGTGTCCATTCTATCCCGTTTTTGAAGCCCATTTAAATTGTGAGGCCCTTGGTGTCATGCTCTGGAATATAGCTTTGTTAGTGTTTTGAAGCACCACATTGGTGGTGATCCTCTGATGCATAACTTGTTCAGGTTTCTTTTGCAGGAAAGTCTTCTAAAGAGAACTAAGTCTATAATGGTCACTTTTGTGGTGCTTACCTAGAATTCAACCATGATGTGCCAGGGTGTGAAACGTTTGCCTATGTCACCTCAGGTACTACAGTCATAGGGTGCACCTAGGAGCCCTTCCTGAGGCACATCAAGAAAGAACCTGCAAAGCTGGCTCTGGGGAACATCAAAAGATAAGCCCTTGAAGCGGAAGCCTGGGTTGGCCTATCCAACTTTTTGTCCCATGGCTCCAGTTTGCTAAGCAATGCTATTAACAAAAGGACCACGTCTAAATGGATGTCTGGTTGTCGTTTACATTGTTATGGCCTGTTTGGCTGGAAACTAGAAGGCTGTGTCAAGGCTCATTTGGTCCGAGCCAAGGCTGCCACCTCTGCCTGTCTTGGATGACTCCATTGTATCCAGGTACAGCTGCAACATGGTATGGCAAAGTGACTCACCAGCAGCGTTGTGGGTTTTTTTTTCTCTGTAGTACTGCTGATCAGGTCTGCTGGTGGTCCCCTTTTGCTTTGTGACTCAGCCCTCTGGTTGGGTCACCTTTGGGCACAACCCCTTTTGGGTAATCCAGTAGATGCAGGACCTCAGACTAGGTCTACGGGCCTGGATGAGGGCTAATAGTTCTCCTGGCCCCTTGTGTTTGGGGTCTTCCTGGTGAGGCTGTAGGGGAACACAGTCCCTCCCGCTACCCTGGATTCCTGTTAGGGAAGCCATTTGTCTGGTTATAAATGGAACAGTCCTCTTTTTGGGTGGCCTGTCTGTCCCTATCTGGCACCGAGACAAAACTGGTCGTGATTTTTTATGATCTTGGATGAGAAGTATTGTAATGAAGAGTGTGCCGCTCTGCCCCCGTCCTGACCTTGCACACACCGTGCGTGCGAGGTCAGGCTGGTAGTAGTGGGGTGGGGTGCTCTTCAAAACAGGGACAGTACTTGGTCCTGCTAGTGATTGCAGGGGACTGGACTCGATGACCTTTCAAGGTCCCTTCCAGTTCTACGAGATAGGTATATCTCCATATATTATATTATATTTCTATATGATACATCCCTTCCTCTTCTCATTGTTGGTATTGGCCTTATACTACTGCCCATTGGGATGATATTGGAATTATTATTTATCCAGGATGATATTACCAATTTAACCATAAATTCCTTTTAAATCCAAAGGCTAGATGGTATTTATATAATTGCTAAACATGCCTAAAAAGCCTAAATAATAAGCAAATTACTACATCCAAATAGTAACAAAACATTTATAAGGATTTGATCAAGATACTTACAAACAGGCTAGATCCCTATTGGTCAGTTCCAGTGTGGTCAGGCTGTTAATACCAATGTACCCTTTAAAAGTTTACTTTTTTATACCCTTTAACAAACAAGTGATATCATTGCCAATTATCAGACCACAGCTAAGGCCAAATGAAGCAGTTTCTTATGTAGCCAATTTACTGCATGTGGTAACCATGTT